GATAATATAAATACATAGTATAGGAGATAATTATTTAAAATAACATTTTTATTTTCTAGAACACTTTATGTACTTTCTCTATGTTTTAATTTAATTTTCTGTTGTATATCTTATTTATATATTTGTATATGTATTTATAGTCGAAGATCGTTGTAGTTTAGCAACCTACTTTATAAATCAATTTTAATTTAATTTTTGAACACATATTTAACACATTTATATACTAGTATGCATATCTATGGATGGTGCTAAGATATAGTATACATTGAGATGGATAATCACAATCTAAATGAGGTACAGTGATATAGAGCCGCAACGGGACATATTTCCAGTAAATATATTTTATAATTACCATTTTTTGCTGCTTCTGTGTTAGTCGTTTATCGAACTAGTTACTCAAAATTGCGAATAAAGGGTATAAAGGCTAAGTATATTAAAATGGTGTATTTTATTTACTGAATAAACATGAAGATCTAAAATGTATTCTATAGTTTCTATACAAACTTTCTGTTAAAAGTCGGCACGGGTTATCGTTATCCGATACTAATAATATTTATTATTTCAGTTACTAGGATCAAAAAGAAAAAAAATAAGGCGTATCGTATTTCAAATCGAATAAAAAAATTTCGCCCTTATACCCTGGGACACCCTAATATACAAATATGTATGTATATATAAATATATATATATATTAATTTAAAATTTCAGAATTATATTTACAAATTTTGAAAAACCAAATAATTGTATTGTTTTTAATTTCATGTTTTTGTTTTCTATGTTGCAAATGAGGAATAATATTGTGTTAATACATGAATCTCAATGGATGGAGTCCCAAATTGAAATATCGAATTTGCGGTGGACAAAAATGGGTAGGATTTATTGATTGGAAATAATATGTAAGCGTAAGATATAGCGAATGACAAAAGTGCTCCGAAGTACATATCTTTGGGTCATTTCAAGAAAATGGTATGTACAGGAGCACATCTTTAATAGAAGATGACAGAATATTGTGTTTTTGGAAAGCACAAAGACAGTTTTTTATTAAAAAAAAACAGGAAAAAATATAAGAATGTGAAATTCTCGTAATATAATACAGATAGTTGGAGAAAACCATTAAGTAGAACATAAATCGCTTACAATTCTTGTATAGAAAAAACCGAAAATCATTTGAAAAATTCTCTGCAAATAATTCTTTTGAACATTCCGACATAATTTGATGGCTTTAATGTAGTTGGAGCATTGCTAGAAAGAGAATTCTAAGGTATAAGCACAATTTATCGAGAGAAAAACAACAACAAAAAATTTAAAATCTTTACTACATATATACGTTGTAAAACTTTTCCAACATATTTTATATAAAAATATGGTTTCAATAGCATAGTGCCATAAGTCATAAATCACACAAAACGTCTTGTTTTAACAATTTCTCGAATATGCAATTACAAATTTCTTAATATCAACTGACCACCATGACCAGGTTTGTCACCACTGAAGTTGTTTTTAGTACAGTTACACAAAGGATCTTATTTATCCTCGAATTCTTTGCACTTTGTAAACAAGCACACGTTAAGTTGCTAGCTACGTATCGATAAGTTATAGAAATTTAAAATTAATTAAATTTTAGGCAGTGTTTGCAGCGTATTATCTATGGATAATATTGTTAAGGATCTATCCCATTAAAGTTTAAAGCCTACCTGAATTTGGCACTGGTGCTATAGGATATCTCACTGAGAACGTCTTTGTGTATCACATCTAACGGCTAAGTTTGAATAATATATTGAATATTAAGTTTGATCGAAATCTCAATCGCAAGTATATATTATTTATCTACGTTTACTTTTGGAAACACAAATGGATAACCCAGTATAATTTATTCACATAAATTTATGTATTTAATTGTTTTATTCATTATATATAAATATTGTTACATCTTTTATACCATACTGACACACGAGTATGGGACTGGGAATATATAATTTAATGCTACTTTATTTACTTTTCTAAATAAAAGTAAATAATATGAGTTAAAAACAGAATTACAATAATTTTGGATATAAATGGAAATTCCACTTCTTACAGATTTTAGTATTTATTTATTTATTAGTTTGTTTATTCAATTGTTAGATTCTGTAATTTTGGATAACTTTTCAGTCCCGAACTCACAAAAAATAAACTATAAAAGGTAAGACTAAAATTGAAATATTTCAGTTCAAACATTGCCAATTCAGCAAAGCAGAAAAATGTCTTATTCAAATATTTTACAAATAACGCTTCTGGTTCTTACTTGTCTCGAAGCTGTACGTGGACAAGCCAGAATAGTTGGTGGTGGAACAACACCAATAGCTGAAAATCCTTTTGTTGTAAATATACGTGACAATGGAGGAAAGTTGGTGTGTGGAGGATCTTTGGTTGATCCACGTTTTGTTGTCTCCGCTGCTAGCTGCATTAAGCCATATAAAGCTAATCAATTGACAGTACAAGGTGGTGCTCAAATGTTCTCAAATCCCGGTGTCAGGCGTAAGGTCGACCGCATCATATATCCTGCAAACTATGACAACGTAACCTTGGACTATGATGTTGTTGTACTGAGATTGGGAAATGAATTAACTGGTACAAATATCGGTACTATAAATTTACGTACAACTGGAGTTCCAGTTGGTGCAAATTTAAAAGTCTTGGGATGGGGGCGATTAAGTGAAAATGGTGAAAATTCCAATGCTCTGCAATCTGTGCTTGTTGCCGCGATTTCAAAAAACGATTGCTTGCAGTCATATGAGTTAACCCCGACCATGTTTTGTGCTAAGGCCCCAGGTGCTGATGCCTGTGAAGGTGATGGTGGTGGTCCAGCTGTATTGAATAATGAGCTTGCTGGTATTGTGTCATGGGGATTCGGTTGCGCTCGTCCTAATTATCCTGGTGTATACACAAGTGTTGCTAAGGTTGCTCCTTTTATTAATCAAGCTATAAGCAATAATTCATAAAATAATTTTATTAACTAACACTGCATTATTATATAATGTTAATATTTCCTCCGTTTGTTGTTTTTAATTAAATGACGAGAATTTTTATAAATAAAGTAATTAAAATATACAAAACAAAGTTTTTTATTCATTTAAGCATTGAATGTATATTATGTTTTCTCTTGAAATACTAGAACAAGAGTAGATGATTGTTCGTTTCAAGAAGTGAGTAAAATTTTAATGAAACGTGATATGTATTTTCTTTATTGATTTGCTGGGTATCAAAAAAATATCTAAATACTGTAAATCAGAAAGTTTTAATATTAGAGAAG